ACTGGAAGAATGTCACTGATACTGAGAAAAATAGCTTTTCAAGATAGAGTGATCAGTTATGGCAGTTGATGATCAGAATTTGAGAAAATGAGGACTGAGAATTAGCCATTAGATCTGAAAACATACAGGCCTTTGATGACCATTGAGGACAAGGATGGTTTCATCAGAGGCAATGGACACAAACTGGATTGGATTAGGTTTTAGAAAGAATGGGAAACAAGGAAGTGGATGTCGCTGAAATTTATTTTACCATCTAAAACTTGTATGTGTTGCATAGTATGTATTTAAAAAGCAAGACTAATGAGGAATTTTCATTAACAGTTAAATGGAGATCAAAGTATATTACTATGTATTTCTTTTGAGTGCCCACATGCTTAATGTTTAGGTCAGTGCCCATTTTAGGCCATACTTTCACTTTGCATCCACTTACATTATAGAATGTTCAGTTGGGTTTAAGTAAATACTGAATCTCTCATTAATGCCCCTGCTGCCAAATCACTCTGTTGTATCCACTAGGGTCTGTGGAGGGAATATATATGAATTATAAGGATTGGATGATCATCTGGAGTAGGATGGTTCAGACATACCTGTGTTCAAGCTCTGATTTTGCTGTTCACTAGCTGTGTGACCTGGCAAGTTACCTAACTCTTCTGAGCCTATTTTCTCAAAGATAAAATGTGGATAATAAGGATATGAAGGTCAAATAAGGTAATGTGTCTTAAAAAGTCAGCATGACATCTGGCACATAGTAAGGGCTTAGTGCATGTGAGTGACTTTGTATTGTTATGATTACTGACTTGTTCTTGAATGGGACATAACTGAAGTACTGTTTAGTAAACAGAAGATAGGTCTTCTAATAAAGAACAGAAAAATGTGCCCAGAGAATAAGCCATACCTTAGAAACCAATCATGGTGTTTGGTTCATGTTCTTCTATATGTGTTCATTTCTCTTTCCTATTTCCTCACCTTTAGTGAAGTCATACAAGCATGGTAGTTAAGACTCTACAGAGCACATTTGTCATTGCAATCCCCTGGAATTAGAGGTATATTCCAGCTCCATCTTCCCATCTTTTCCAATCCATTCAGCATTGCTAGTGACAATACCTTAGGTATTGTCTGCTTCCTGGGCACTAAGCACTGTTCCTAAGCCCTTTACAACTATTAGCTCATTTAAATCTCACAGCCCTGAGAGGCAGCTGCCATTATTGCTTCCATTTGTATATATAAGAAAAGTGAATCACAAAGAGAAGTAACGTGTCATGTCGTAAGATCCTAAGATAACACTGTTGGTAAATAGTGGAGGCAGGCTAGTTACACAATTTGTACTCTTAACCATTTCATCCTAATTCCATTTAGGGCTATAAAACTGTAAGTTGTCATAGCTTTTCTCTGGAGGGGTGTGGGGTTAGTAAAAAAGGGCAATTCAGTATCCTTCCTCAGCAGTTCATTAGTAATCATCAGTTTGTGTTGGGTATCCAGGTTTCACATCCCACCTCCAGCCACCAGCCATTCAGCTAAGTTCATAAAAACATTGAAAAACAGAACAATATATTCTGTTGTTTTACTGTAAAGGTTAATCATTAAAGTGTAAGATCTGAGGGTCAGGTTCTTTGCTGCTTATACCCAAAGAAGGAAGAGTCATTTTTGTATTAAGATATCTAAAAAGTCTTTACATGCTTAGCAAGAAAGCTAAATTAAGCCCTGGGTTGGGTGAAATTATAAACATGCTGTCTGTCTCAGATGAGTAAGTGGATATAAATGGAATAGTTAGTATACATGGCCTTAATGATACAGCTTTCTTTTTTCTGTGTAATGTAAATCACCAAATATGAGCATTTCCATCTGACATTAACCGTCAGTCTCAGAAAAGCACATTGTAGGATTCAATACATGTTATACAACAACAAGATTGTCCTTTTCTTCAGCACAGTGATTTTTTTTTTCCTTCCGTATCTAGCGGTTAGAACTAAGGCCTAAAACCCTTAGTTACAGAACAAAGTGGCTTAGCAGTAATGGAGCCTGTGTGAGGCTAAGAGAAGAATAATGAACATTCCCTGCAAGCTTCCTGCCTAGATGCAGGTGCAGGAATCAGGAGGTCATGAATAATGCATGACATGCAGATTAAGTGGTGGTTTCTCCTACTGGGGCTTTGACTTTGCTACCTGCATGGCTGCTATATGTGGAAAGAAGGTAGGCGATGGCATAAAGTGTCACAATTTAAAGACTGAGCCCACAAAAACACTGCAGATCCCTTGAAGAAAGAAAATTTTGGGAATAACTGAAATGCAGACTCTTATGGTCTACTTTATTGGATGATGTGAGCTCCAGGTTATCAATTTGTTCACTTTGGAAAGGAAAACAAGCTTTGTTGGCTTACTACTACTTTTAATTAAAGAAACCTTATAATTATTTGACATACATGAACAATCAGGAATTCTTTGTAGACTGTTAAACCATTATAGAAATGATCTGCTTACTGAGTTTGATCTATAGATTGCTGAAATTTTGCTAAAAGATACAAATACCTCGAGAATATAGTAATTAGAGGTTAAAGAGGTCCATTTTTCTCTACTGATATATGCAATGAGAAGCATCAATTAGAGTTACTTCTAACATCAAACTTCACCTGGTGGAATTATGGTGAATAAAAATACTGTTGTTAAAGAGGAAGCAGTAGAAGAGATAAACATTTAAAGGATGTAGAATGGATTAAAGAACTGTGAGTTTGGGAGCTATACTCCTTAAAACTTTATTTAGGTAGTAGGACTCTGACATTTCAGTGTGGATGTAGGGAAGGTTCAAGAGGATTTCCTGCATTTTCCCTTAAGTCAGGTGGCTTTAACTTGGGTGATGATTTTTTGGTCACAATTCCATTTGATGATTGTGTTTCCAGCAGGCAGAGTGAAAAAAAAAAAAAGAAAATGAGGCTTGCTACCATTTTTATAATTCGTATGCCTTTTAATTGCATGTTTTTCTCTCTCCTCCAATTTGGGGTACTGGACTAGGAGCTGGCTTTCATTTCTAGCTGAGTCTGTCATTTCCGCTAGCCCCAGTTTGGCCAGATGCCAGGACCAACAGGTGATCCTTGTAGCTGCAAAACAGCAGGAAGTGGGCCGTGCTTGAATGAGACGGTTCACCAGAGGGGCTGTCTGGCCTCTCTCCATCTTTCTGCATAATTAACATCCCCTCCCCCATGCCGAGCAGAAAATCTGTGCTGAGCGGCTCAGCTGCAGCAGCCATTGAGAAACGCTGTGAGGAAAAGAATCTTAATAAGGGATATTGGAAGGAAGAAGCCTTCCGAGGGCAAAGTGCGGTCTGGCCCCCGATTTATGGAAAGATGGCAGTTGGCCCTTCTGAGGGGCTAGAACTGTAGTATCTGTTTTGAAATGATTTCCACTTGCTAAACAACTATGGAGAACTGGGACTTTAATGAACCTTGGAGCTGTTGCCTCTAACTGGACTTAAAAGACCGGCTTAAAACTCCTGTTTTCTTCCTGTCTTGTAAATCAGAGTAATGTCTGAGACATAACAAGTAAAGATAACACAAGCTAAAAATCCTAGTAAATCCTAGATTCTCACAAATCCTAGTAGAGGTAGAACAAAGCAGGGAGTTGAGGGCAAGGAAGCAGGAGGTAGGGCGTATTGTGTTGCCCATCAATGACCCACAAAGATGTGCGGTTCAGTAGCTAGCTCCTGATTAGAAAATATCAACAGTTCCTGGAAATATAAACTATTTCCCGTGGATGATGCCAACCCTGAAAGCTTGTAAAATAATAGTTTTTACTTCTCCATTATTTAAGTAAAGTTTTGAGTTGACTTAGCCTTTCTCAAGCCCAGCAATTAGAGCATCACATCTAAAAGGGCTTTTTTCCTAAAAATGACAGTTCATCCTTCCTTCCTCCCTCATTCCCACAGATTCTGTTCCTGGACATTTGAATGAAGTTATTAAGGGGAGGAAAAATAAACTTTCCCTCTACCTTCTCAGGTCCAATCTCTAGAGGAATGCAAATTAAACTGAGGAAAAATTAGCAAGAGTAAAAAGACCAGTTTATGATGCAACATGCATGCATGCAGGACTGCTCAGTGATGAGTAACTCAAAGGAGTGGTTATAATTTGGAGCTCATACACCGTTTTAACAGAGGGTGATAAATTGTGTAGAAATGACTAGTCAGAGGAAAAGATGGTCTGGGCTCTAGTGGGGGAAAATTGTAGGAAGGGGACTAGGAAATGTATGGGAGGAATTAATGGTAAATAAGGGTTGTTTATGCACACCCGTCTCAGTACCATCTCCAGTGATGAGAGTTGTATGTGTTACTGCTCTTCCACGTATGGGAGAGGAGGCACCTTTACAGATGAAAATTTCCTTTACAAAGGGGAAATTTATGCCCTGCTTTTAGCCTTATGAAATGAAGGTGGCTCCTCCTGTATCTGCTGTTTCTCAGTTGTCTTGAGCTCAAAATAATCCTGTCAAAGTGACATACTTTGGGGATGCATATCCTGATCCCTTCCATTGTCTTGCTTTTTAGGATGTTAAATCCAGAAGTTGGTTGAGGGAGCTGTGCACTTTTTCTTTTTGATCCCCACCCCTCCTTGTGGAAACATGAAGCAGAAAGGGCTCATTGAAGGCAAATACCATACTTCACATTACATTTAGACACTTCTAAATCTGGCAAGGATTGTGTAGTCAGTCGCTTTTTGTTGGACTGAATGAATCAATCAGTTCATTAAAACCGGTGGTCCCGCTTTTGTGGGTGTCTTCATGGTGAACATTGTGACAAGCCCATTTTATATGGTACAAGTGGTGCAGAAGGAAAGACTCACAGGTTTGCAGGTATAAGAATCTCACTGCATTTATTTACTACGAGGCGATCAGGTTCTGGGGGATTTATATTAAGCAAATCTAAAAGAGATCATTTATAAAGCAGATCTCTTTGTATTTGTTCATTTGTCATTAGGAATATGCTTTCTCAACAACTGGATTACTCTTCTCTACCTACAGGGTTCATCCATCCCCAGTATCAAGAGTCCGGGGAAACCGAATGAATAGCCAGAAGTTTGCTTGGTGAGTATGCCCCCTAAGTTACGAAAATGTGTCTAAGTTGATTTTAACAGGCTGTGTTTCAATGAAAGAGAATTACTCCTGATTTTCTGTAACTGAACTACATTGTGTCCCTTCCTCTGGAAAGTTCTAAATCAACACAATAGAGTTTCTCTCCAGCCAAAACTTTTCACTCACTAAAAACCCAGTGCAACTTTGTTTTCCTAACAGCTATGGTATATCTTCCAAGATTATCAGCTGTTACACCTTAAAAGAATGTTTCCCTTTTGCTGGAAGATATTGTAAGGTTTTAGTGGGGTTTAAGCAACAACTCAGATTTGGCTCAAGTACCAACTTCTCCTCATGGAGATTTTCATCTATTATTTATTAATCTATTATTTTAATCTATTATTTAATCTATTATTTTAATATATTATTAATCTATTATTTTAATGTTAATGATTACTATTTAGATGATTTTTTTCCTGTCCTTAGCATTAAATATCCAGGGAATTTTTTTTTTTTTTTACTTTGGCAAATACAAAGATCTTTAATAGACTAGTTCTCTGAACAAAAATATAGATGGAACTTACCAGAAGTGACCTGAAAAGTTATCTCAGCCACAGAACACTGATTACTGATCCTTTAAAAAGGCAATTCAAGGTGTTTCACAAACACTTTTTATGAAACAAAAATGTATATTAATGTAGGTTTAAAATCCAGATTTTTTATATCACTCCATTTCACAAAATCAGCCTTTCTACACATAATTTATCTTCAAAAAAACATAGACAAGGATTGAACTGTTTACTGTATTACTTTAAAGGTGAATAGAAATTCAGATCTGTTTTTACTTCATTGAATTGTGCTTAGAGTGGGATTTTGATTAAAAACTACGGCTTTTTTTTAAGTATGGGAAGATGATTACCAAATACTGAATTTCCAAATTAATTTTATCCCTAAGTCATGATTATTTTTAGACACAAAATAATGATTCTTTGAATTTGAATAGTGCCTAATCAGCTTGCCTCCCTCCCCCCATTAAATCTAATTAACCCTCACAATAGCTTGGTGATGTTGTTAAATATTATGCTTTTCTTTGTCACAGAGGGGAAAATAGAGCACAGAGGACACCGCCATTTGGTTGCACACTGTCTAAAAGCGGGAGCAACCTTCACGGTTTCTCACAATCACTAAGGCATATTGTCCCCTGTCAAACCTGGAAAGCTGGGAGAATAATAATGTTGATGGCCATTACATAAAAGGAAAGGGAGAAATAGGTCTTTTCTTGCCTGCATGGAATTTATATTCCTTCTCAGTACAGGCATATTGTACTAAAGAAACTTTGTTACATGTAGAGAATATGAGATGTTTAAGTGAGCAGCATAAGCTAATGGACAGAGTGCAACATTGTCAGTTCCAAGATCTGGTTTGTACAACTTACTTCTCAGTGGCTAACCGTGGACCACTGAGTAAATAACAAATGTTCTTTCCCTCACTTTTCCTTTCTGGAGTATTGGGGTAACAGTAAATTGTTCCTACATAATTCATAGTATATTACTTGGTTAGTAAGTTTAAACCACTTTCATCTCCAGAGAAATAATACATGAAAAACAAAAAGGATTTTTGCTACTAGCCTTGAGAAAATCAACTTTTTATCTCTTCAGCAACATATATTTAGAGCCCCTGGCATTGTGAACAGCACTAGATTAGAAAGATAAATAAATATGGTTTCTGTCCTCAGGAGTCTCATCTTGTGGGGGAGGGGTGTGAGAGAGAGAGAGTGGGTGTGTTTGTGTGTGTGTGATGTCACACATATATATTACATGGTACCATACAAGCAACATCTGATATATAATAAAATATGGGTAATGCTCTAAGGAGATATATCTATAGTACATACAGGAAGGAAGAGGAGGGTCAGAAAACCCATCCCAGAGAAAAAGGGTTTTGAATGAAGTCCCAGAATAATTAGGAAAAGCAGAGGGGTGAGACAGGGGTGAGATAGTGTTTCCCATATAGATAAAATGGAGGCAGTTCTAAATTCACTATAGTAGGAGCATACATGGATTTAATACATGTGCTTTATTTGGTCAGAAATTAGTTAAAATTTCCATTATATATACTACCTTGAATCTTCCTTAAGCAAATACTGTAAGGCTGGTACGGAAGTAAATCACCTGGCTGTGATGAAGCCCAGTGAATCACCCAGCATCTACATCTAGTTAAGTGATAAAGACTTGCTATTTGTGAAATATTGCCTCAGAAAATCCCAGAAGTTTAAATACTCATGTTAGCAATGGAGATGAAGGGAAAATGGCAGTTGCTGTCCCCAAAAGAGAAGTTTGAGATAATTTAGAGAATTACATGGCTTGGCTCTGGCTTGAGTTAGATCAGCAAACTATATGTGAATAATGTTGGGTGATTTTGTGAAGCTGGGGTAACAAATGCTCCAAGCAATTAAGAAATATTATCCATTAAATAAGCAATTAAACATCACTAAAAGGCAAAAAGGCTTAAACTTACAAGTTATGCATAGGAAATGCATGGAAATTGGTCGGTTGTAAATGTCAGTGGCTGTGGTTGAGCTATCAAACCAGTGTTTATTATTGAGCAAAGAAAGTTTAAACCCTTAGTAGTATTTTTCTCTGCATAATGTTAATATGAGAGGCAACATCCACTGGCCTCATTCCTGGAGCAGCATTTATTTCCTCTGACGCTGAAGAAATGTGTTGGAAAGAATGTCTGTTCGTGGCAAACAAACCTGCTGAAATGGAAAGAAGATGTGGTAACAAATGTACATAACCAGGGAGCAGAGAAGCACACATCCAGTGCCAGATGTTGGGATGGAGCCAGGTTCTCCGTAACTATCTGTTAACTCCCAGAGATGAAAGAGTGACAGTAAGAATGTCTTGCAGGATACGTTAGCACCCCAATAAAGAACATAAGACTGTTGCACAACTTGTTAATACTCAATTAATCAAAGATACCAAATTCAGGCAGACATAAACTCTGTGCATCAGAATGGCTCTCCCCTCCCTGCCAACCCACAATAGAAATATTTATTGATCTGAGGATTGATGAAGCCTTTGAGGTACAGTATGTGAATTTCCTTCTCTATTCCAGGTATCATATCTCACCTCTTTCCTTCACCAGTGGCCTTATGTGGAGGTCATCACACCTTCCTTTGTCCAAAGGCTATATATAAACCTTTTTTAGAGCATTTGCCAGTCTTTCTTGCCAGAAATGACAATTCCAGGAAAACATACTTTGCTCCATTTGGGGCAAATGGGGAGAAATGAGGCAAATCTTACTAGAGCCTCAAATGTGCAGTTCAGTAGACTTCTGTTCTTTACAGATCTTTTTGCTTGACGCTGTTACATTTTGAGATCAAACCCACAGGAAATAGCTGTTTCCAAGTCGTCTTTCAGCTGTTTTATTCCTGAAGGTATAATAGAATTCTGGAAACTGTTCAGTGTGTAGGTTGGAGCAGGACAGCGAGAGGCTTGGTGGGGAATATCTCTGAACTGAACATGGAAGTTTGTTTCAGGCTCCAGGCATCTCCGGGATCAATGTGACAGTTCTGAAGACATACACATTAGTATATGTTCATTTTTAAAGCTTTCCACCCTTCTCTCCTTTCCACTGCTCCATTCCTAAGGTTTGGAAGGACTTGGGCATGTATTGTTCTTTGATAGTGGTGGTGGTTGCGGCTGTGCTGTGCACCCCAAACATCTGCCTAGGGTTGTTATGTAACCATGGCAATGGTGTTAGGTAATAGAGAGTTTCTGGGCTTTTTATATAATGACATCAAAAAGAAAGTATCTTTACTAGGAATTGTCATCAGAAAAGTAGAAATAATTTTCTCTAACCAATTGGAAGCTGCCACCACCAGTCTCAATTATTATTTATTTCTTACCAACATGCCTGAGACATTATGTAGCTGTGTGCACAAAACACTTCAGTTTTAATAGAGTATCTATGCAAATTATGACCCCATTCTGGGTTGAATCACGTTTCACCTTTGGATGTGGAGAAGTTCTGTGTCACAAATTTGTGTGGCGGGCAGGAAGAGCTTTTTCATGCTTCAATGTTTGTTGCTATATAGGTATTAGTGCTATGATGAACTTAAATACTTATTTGCGTTCCATTGCAAATGTTAGGCATGACTCTGAGACTCCTTCTGAAGGATATAACTAGTAAGGATTTTTGTCATAAAAGTAAGAACATGCCCTCTCGTTTAAGCCTCTTGCTGTGATAGAAGAAGGCACTGAGGTTGATACCAGGTACCTTTCAGAAAGCTGCTGCAGAACGAGCCCTGTAAGGAGGGACAGAGCATTTCCAATTGCAGCAGTTGCCAGTTTCAGAGCTATACAGGAGAGGTAGGCACCATCATGTCCAGTGCAACTCCTTACTATCCACATGTAGAAGTGGGGGCCCAAAGACAAAATTGTAACATCTCAGATATGGCAGAAATCCAGGTCTCTGAGCACCCGTCCAGTCATCTTTCCACAATGTAGCAATCAGCTGCCTGTGGGTAGAGCAAGAGAAATGTCAGAAATTAAATAAGATGGATGCTTAATTTATTACAAGCTAAGCAGAAGACTTTTGTCTGGGAGATTCCCATGGTACTGATGGGATGGGGGGAGAGAGAGAAGAAACAGAAGAGGCCTGATGAAGACATTGCTGCCCACTCCGATGCATGGCAGTTAGTCCCTGCCAAAATGTTTACTCGTCTTTCAGATCCTTGCATGCTCATTCTTTATAGATAATATTGGTCATGTCATTTTAATTACCGGAGCATTCCACTGCCTTTCTTCTTGCTTTCCAGGGTAAAAATGATGATAATATATATGGATTTTAATATGTGAAAATTTGAGTTCCCAGAATGCCTACCTGGTCTTTGTGGGTTTTTTAAATCAGTGCGTGTTGGCAAATAAGTAACAACAGGTCACCTGTAGATTTAGTTAGAAAGCGTACTCTCTGCAGTGCTTCATAACAGATTTGGAAAGAGGCCGTAGTTC